TAGAAAATAGATAAGAGTGAATTTTCATTTAATGGCAACTTCTCAGTCTCGAGCATCTCAGTCTTCCAGTGCATTGCTGCGTCATCACCCGGCAGCAGCAGGCCAAAAAATAAATAGGAATGTGGACAGCCAAAAAAATGTTCATTCCACCAAAGTTCTCCTAGGTACAGGTTGCAGAGGAGTGAAGTATGCCAGAGCAATCTATTTCACACGGCGCAGCTGAAACCTAATTACACAGATTAATGTCCCATGGAAGGTGCCATTACCTAAATAGCCTCCTAAAAAAGGAGGAGACTTCGCTTCAGCCTAAATATGCGGTTTAAATGCTAATTGATCCTTCAAATCTAGATTCGAATATGTATGTCTTTACTTTCTCCCGTCTGCTGCTGCAGTAAGATTTTGTGCAGCCTTTAATTCCCCCTCTGCAGACACTTCTCTTGACAATGACCGTAAGCCTGGATAAGTCTCCACCCCGCCTTTTCCGGTGTGAAATATTTAACCAGGGCTGCCAATAGCAGAGGAAAAGGCCAATCTTATCATTTAATACTGATTTTGTTTCCACATCTTATCTGTTTAGTGTGCAAATGCTGGACTGATTAAACTACTTTTACTTCCCCAGCGAAACGTCAGGGACCCAGCATTGGGGGACTAAAAGAAGTTGATCGGCTCACTTCTGATCCCGGTGTTTACAGCTGCGTGTGGAAGCACGTGCAGGTCATCCTGCCACGACACCGGCTTCTTAAAATAAGACCTCGGTTGTGGTGGATGAGAGAGCGGGAAATGGACTTGACAGTCAGAGCCATGAGCTTGATGCGGCCTTCGGTTGAATGTGTCAGACCAGAAGCACCCAACCCCCAGCTTCACCTCTCTGCTCACACACAAGTGCGTGCTGTCACAAGGCATTAGCGTGGCAGAAATACACACACTTGCTCCTTCCACTCCATCCAAAGTATGGGCATTTCACAGCAGTGGCGTAACATCTTCCCATTCCCATGCTAGAGCCTATGTGACATCAGATGTGCATTTACAGGCTTGGTGGCAGGTTTTAGTGGGCTGTTGAAGGAAGAAGCTCGTGCAGATGCCATAACTGTAGGAAGAAGAGTGTTTTTTTAGGTTGTTTATAGTTAATCAGACTCATCTGTCTGATTGCAATCAAGAGTTGACCTTCAGACATCTCAGTTTCTGTCATTTCTCTCTTAGTTGCTCATGACGTCGAGCCATGGGTTAGAAAAAAGTCTCAAATTAATTATCACTTTTGTATCACAGTTTATTTATTTATTTATAATTGCTTTTCATACAAAGCATTGCGTTAAATTTGATCTATCTATCAAATTGCATATACAGAGGTAATTCAAGGTAATTAACATGATAAAGAGAAATAAAGCTGCATAAGACTAAAATTTATGAAATTAAAAAATAACAAACAAAATAAATTAGTAAAGTGCAGCACAGTTCTTGGTCACTAAATGCATAGGTAAACATATATTTTTGTAATTTTTTAATATACTTTCGTTTTCATATATTGATTCTATTTTTATATGGTTTTATACTTTATTGTATTTATATATATGTATATATATATTTTTTTTTTATGACCCTAACCCTAACCCTAACCCATGACCATGTATTATCAAGAGGCACCCTATAACTGCCAAGTGATCTATCATCTCTGAAGTGCAGTGGAAGGTCAGACAATACCTCTGTTCATCAAACACGTGCACACATAGCCACCTACACAATCATAACTGTTACTTCTTGTCCTGTAAATATAATCCCGTTATCCTGCTATTTATAGATCGTTCCTTCAAACTGACCAATCCTTTATGCTCCTCCCCTTGGCTTGAATGAGGATGATTTTACTATGATTCTTTGGCAGCTTGATAATACTTCAGCGTCGCTCAGTTGCGGAATGAACCAGACCGAGACTGAATGTCTGACTTGATGATGCCTCCAGACAGATGTGGCATCCTCCATGAGGAAATTAAAGCTCAATGAAGGAGCACAGAATTCTCTTGCAGATGCTTAATCGTATGAAATATTCATCACAGAGCGATGCATTTCCAGTGGAACGCACATATTATTCTGGCCTTGGGGGAAAAGTTTTGCCCAATATTTTAAACAGGCACACAATAAAACAATTTTGGCCTTGGCACATAGTCCTAAAAACTCCAGTTCATCCCCTGGCTGCTTTAGGGTCTCAAGAGCAATTTCTGTGATGCAGATACTTGTAATAATCTTTCTTATTGTTCAGCTACATCAACCCAATATGCACACGAGCCTTTGTTCTGATTCCCCAACAATTAGCTTCAGATAATGAGGTCAGTTGTTCACATTTCTATTTGTGGAGCCTGTGCAAACGTCTTTTCATTTTGTAAAGGAGTGTGTAACAGGGTGAGATGTAACACCATCAGTTTAACCAATTAGAAATTAGCTACAGCAGTGACATCACTATATACCAGCCTCCTCAGGTGAGAGTAAAAACAGTAGACTCTCGTTTATAAATTTGATAAATGCACACAAATGTTCATGTGCAGATATTATGGCTGACTACACAGGAAGGCGCTTTTTTTTCTCTTTTTTTTTTACACAGGTGTTTTAACTATATTTTGAATTTTGCATTGTTTTGAGGGTTAAATATTATAAATAAGGGTTATATATATATATATATATATATATACAGGTGCATCTCAATAAATTAGAATGTTGCACAATCACAACTTTTCCACGACATTCTAATTTATTGAGATGCACCTGTATATATAAAATTCATTACTTTTCTTTATTTTTTTACCACAATAAATTCATGCACACAATTTTAAATGTCCATGTTTTTAAAATTGTTTTTACATCTCACCCTTGTAGAAAAAATGGAAGCAAAATTATCTTTCTCTCTCTATGTATATGCCTCCATTAAAAGACAAACAAAAACTTTCTATTTTTACCACAATAACTTTATGCACACAATTTTAAATATCCATGTTTAAAAAATAGTTTTACTTGCACGATTGTATGCTTTCTAGATAGCATACTTAAAAAAATACAAATAGAAGCAAATATCTCTCTCTCTATATATATATATATATATAGCCTATATATGTACAGGTGCATCTCAATAAATTAGAATGTTGTGGAAAAGTTCGTTTATTTCAGTAATTCAACTCAAATTGTGAAACTCGTGTATTAAATAAATTCAGTGCACACAGACTGAAGTAGTTTAAGTCTTTGGTTCTTTTAATTGTGATG